AAAAAAAAAAAAAATTAAAAAACATACTAGAAAGAGGTTTGCAACTACTTAGCAGTTGTTCAAATTACTAAAAATTAAAGGACTGATAAAAATCAACTCCCAATTTAAATACAGTAATTAATAACTTAGGGCACTGAAACAAAGTTATATGAAAACATTGTTAGTAATATAACTCAATCTTTGTCTATCTATATTTTAATTATAATTGATATGTTTACATTTTTACTATATACTAAGTACGATATTTCTTACCAGAGGAAATGGGAATTTTAACATGAAAAATAATTATTTAAGCAGTGAGAACATTTCTATTTCACTTATTTTCAACCAAAGTAAAATTATAGAATTGGATTTTTAAATAATTATTTTCTACCTTGTTCCCTGAATGCTCACAGAATTTAGTAAAGAAAAATCCAGCTCTATTTTCTACATACAAAGACTGCAACAAATTTTCCATGTCAAATCCTCCCAAGGCACCAACATCTGAAGTGGTTTTAACCTAGATAACAAAACAGAAGTCCGTTATCCACTCAGATACAATGTTTTGTTTTTTTTTGGAGGGGTGTGCATTGTACAACAGGATTTCATAAATTCTGCCAGGCTGTCATTTTCCCCACTGGACTATTTTGTACCATATATGTAATTAATGCCATATGTTTGCATCTGACTGTCATACAAGATTCATTTATAGAGCCAGCTAGAGCAGTAGTATTCATTCCATCATAAACCCATCGAACTTCAAACTCAATCTTCCAGTGACTCCCCAACCTCAATTATTTTCATGTTTCAGGCATGATGATACCATTTTAGGAGACCTCCAAATCTCTGTTGGTGGCCACTTTCCTACATATTTACTGTTGTTTTAGCCTTGAGGTACTGCTAATATAGCTCCAAGAGGTTTATAAAAAGAACTATCTTCAAGGCCTCATAGTGCTGCTCATTAACTATCCTGAGGGAGCCACTCTTTGGACAGTCTCCCACACACAGGTCATGGCCTATAGAGTGTAAATTGTAGTATAAGTTCTCATAAAAAATTTGCTGTTTAGGGGATTTTCAGCCAACAACGCTGACAACTCTAATGCCATTCTTGAAACGGAGAATGCTGGCTCTTTCTCTGACCACAAGAGTGACTTCAGAATACTAAAGGGTATCTACTATTCACATGAACTCTTTCCTATTTGTTTTGTGGAACTCAGACAACTTCTCTGTAATTTAAGGTAACTTTAGGGTCTAAGTAAGATTCTTGCTTTCTCTGTCATAGTCTCTCTCTCTCTGCCTTTTTTTTTTTTCTAATTTTTATTGTGATTTGGGTGAACATTTACAGAGCAAATTCACTTTCCATACAGCTGCTCACATACACTTTATCTCATGACATTGATGGCAATTTCCCACAATGCAACAGCTCCCCTCTCACTTCTTCCCCATAGTTACCTCTTCCCTGTGTCCTTCCCTCCCATGCACTCCTGCCACCACCCCCCCCAGCTGTCTCCCTGTGCAT